GCCTTCACCTGCCTTCACAGGCGTTGTAACACACTGCTTGTTATCACCCGCCTGTTCTGCCGTTGAGGACTTCTTGCATCATTCTTTGTCTAGCTCCTTCCCTGTTATGTACTAAGCTTGGATCCTAGAACAATAGACAAGTAGGATCCTAGAATGCAAGAACTGATTGGCTTGCAGGAAAAGACCAATCAGGCTCCAGGAGGGAAGCAGAATCAGCCAGTCAGACGGGACTCATTGTGTAAATAATGTATATAAAAGCCTGAGGTTTGGGGGGAAATTCAGTCACTGTTTTACAAGCTGCAATAAAGAGCATGAAATCACTACAGGACTCTGAGCATATTTAATTTTCTTTGACCTTACCGCCTTGGGTGACCCTGCTGGGAGTACGAGATTCCCAACGGCTTTGCTCACAAGGGTCATATGAATGTGCAAGCCTACTCACCATGACATGTGAGAGAACTGAGATAGATTGCACTGAGCCCTGGTCTCATTAGACAAAGCGTTCCAACAAAAAGGCTCTGGCTCTGGTTGAGGACAGCTGGATAGGTTTTATGCCAGGGACCACCAGTAGGTTGCTGTTAGATGAGCGTCACACTCATGGGGGGTGTATTGGAAGATAATTCCCACAGATAAGAAAGGTCACAGCCTGTTTAGGGCTTTAAAGATTAGCACCAAAACATTGAACCTGATTCAATACTCCACCTGGAGCCAATCCAGCTGATGAACAACCAACTGAATGTGGGCTCTCCACAAAGTCCAAGTAAGAACTCATGCATCTGCATTTTAGACCATTTGGAGTTTCTGGAGCAGTCTCAAGGGTAGCCCTGCATATCTCTCTCTCTCTCTCTCTCTCTCTCTCTCTCTCTCTCTCTCTCGATCACATTTATACCCTGCACTCCCCGGCTCAGGTGTACAGCAAGTTAAAGTAGTCTAGTCTGCTGGTGACTACTGCATGGATCACCATGGCTAGGTTGGAAAGGGACAGGTACAGTACCGATTGCCTAAGCTGACATAGATTCAAAAATGCCAGTTTGGCTACATTTGTGACCAATGCCTCCATAGAGACAGAAGCATCCAGGATCACAAAGGGACTCCTGATGGCAGCTACAGGTGACTATTGCGCCCCATGAAGAGCTGGGAGCTGGCAAACCGAACTGAAATCATTCTGGCCCAGCCATTGGGCGCCCATCTTTAATGGATAGAGATTCAGCCGACTCCATTTCCTCCATCCCAGCACACCCACCTAAAAATTGGCCAATATATCCAGGGTAGCATCTGGCCAGGGCCATGAAGCAGTAGATCCATGATGTTTGTGGTCATATCTGTGGTTATGTACAAGATATTTGAATAAAGGGTGAATTTGGGGTTCCCCAATGCAAAATGTGTGATGATCCATGAGGATCCGTGCTTCAAAACCACGTTTTTGGGCCACGGAGTGGCCAGGAAGCCATGGATCCATGATTTTTGTGGTGCAGGCTGTGCCCCTGGACATGATGTGTGATTTAACGGTGCATTTGGGTTGGCCCAATGCGAAAAGTGTGAGGATCCATGAGGATCCGTGCTTCAAAACCACGTTTTTGGGCCGTGTTATGACCAGAAAGCTGTGGATCCTAGTTTTTTGTGGTGCAAGTTGTATCCCTGGACATGATGTGTGATCTGACAGTGAGTTTGGGCTGGCCCAATGCAAAAAGTGTGAGGATCCACGAGGATCCGTGCTTCGAAACCACGTTTTTGGGCTACGGTGTTGCCAGGAAGCCATGGATCCGTGATTTTTGTGGTGCAGGCTGTGCCCCTGGCCATGATGTGGGATTTGTCGGTGAGTTCGGGCTGATCTAGTGCAAAAAGCATGAGGATCCATGAGGATCCATGCTTCAAAACCACGTTTTGGGCCACGGTATGACCAGGATCTGTGGATCCGTGATTTTTGTGGTGCAGGCTGTGCCCCTGACTACGACGTGTGATCTGACGGTGAGTTTGGGTTGGCCCAATGCGAAAAGCGTGAGGATCCATTAGGATCTGTGCTTCAAAACCACGTTTTGGGGCCATGCCGTGGCCAGATAACCGTGGATCTGAGTTTTCTGTGGTGGATGCTGTGCCCCTGGACATGATGTGTGATTTGACAGTGAATTTGGTGTGGCCCAATGCAAAAAGCGTCAGGATCCATGAGGATCCGTGCTTCGAAACCACGTTTTTGGGCCATGGCGTTGCAAGATAACCGTGGATCCGAGTTTTTTGTTGTGTAGGCTGTGCCCCTGGCTATGATATGTGATTTGCTGTTGAGTTTTGGTTGGCCAAATGAAAAAAGCGTTAGGATACGTGAGGATCCGTGCTTCAAAACCACGTTTTTGGGCCATGGAGTGGCCAGGAAGCCGTGGATCCGAGTTTTTTGTGGTGTAAGCTGTGCCCCTGGCTATGATATGTGATTTGCTGTTGAGTTTGTGCTAATCTAGTGCAAAAAGCGTGAGGATCCATGAGGATCCGTGCTTCGAAACCACGTTTTTGGGCCATGGCGTTGCAAGATAACCGTGGATCCGAGTTTTTTGTTGTGTAGTCTGTGCCCCTGGCTATGATATGTGATTTGCTGTTGAGTTTTGGTTGGCCAAATGAAAAAAGCGTTAGGATCCGTGAGGATCCGACCTTCAAAACCACGTTTTTGGGCCATGGAGTGGCCAGGAAGCCGTGGATCCGAGTTTTTTGTGGTGTAAGCTGTGCCCCTGGCTATGATATGTGATTTGCTGTTGAGTTTGTGCTAATCTAGTGCAAAAAGCGTGAGGATCCATGAGGATCCGTGCTTCGAAACCACGTTTTTGGGCCATGGCGTTGCAAGATAACCGTGGATCCGAGTTTTTTGTTGTGTAGTCTGTGCCCCTGGCTATGATATGTGATTTGCTGTTGAGTTTTGGTTGGCCAAATGAAAAAAGCGTTAGGATCCGTGAGGATCCGACCTTCAAAACCACGTTTTTGGGCCATGGAGTGGCCAGGAAGCCGTGGATCCGAGTTTTTTGTGGTGTAAGCTGTGCCCCTGGGAATGATGTGTGATTTGACGGTGAGTTTGGGTTGGCCCAATGCAAAAAGCATGAGGATCCATGAGGATCCGTGCTTCAAAACCACGTTTTTGGGCCATGGAGTGGCCAGGAAGCCGTGGATCCGAGTTTTTTGTGGTGCAGGCAGTGCCCCTGGACATGATGTGTGATTTGACAGTGACTTTGTGCTAATCTAGTGCAAAAAGCGTGAGGATCCATGAGGATCCGTGCTTCGAAACCACGTTTTTGGGCCGTGGAATCGCCAGGAAGCCGTGGATCCGAGTTTTTTGTGGTGTAAGCTGTGCCCCTGGACATGGTGTGTGATTTGATGGTGAGTTTGGGTTGGCCCAATGCAAAAAGCATGAGGACCCATGAGGATCCGTGCTTCAAAACCACGTTTTTGGGCCACGGAATGGCCATGCGGGCGTGGATCTGAGTTTTTTGTGGTGCAGGCAGTGCCCCTGGCTATGATATGTGATTTGACGGTGAGTTTGGGCTGGCCCAATGCAAAAAGCGTGAGGATCCATGAGGATCCGTGCTTTCAAAACGTTTTTGGGCCACGGTTTCGCCAGGAAGCCGTGGATCCGTGATTTTTGTGGTGCCTGCTGTGCCCATGGCCATGATGTTTGATCTGATGGTGACTTTGGGCTGATCTAGTGCAAAAATCATGAGGATCCATGAGGATCCATGCTTCAGAACCACGTTTTTGGGCCACGGTATGGCCAGGCAGGCGTGGATCCGAGTTTTTTTTGGTGTAGGCTGTGCCCATGGCGATGTTTGATCTGATGGTGACTTTGGGCTGATCTAGTGCAAAAATCATGAGGATCCATGAGGATCCATGCTTCAGAACCACGTTTTTGGGCCACGGTATGGCCAGGCAGGCGTGGATCCGTGATTTTTGTGGTGCCTGCTGTGCCCATGGCCATGATGTTTGATCTGATGGTGACTTTGGGCTGATCTAGTGCAAAAATCATGAGGATCCATGAGGATCCATGCTTCAGAACCACGTTTTTGGGCCACGGTATGGCCAGGCAGGCGTGGATCCGAGTTTTTTGGTGTAGGCTGTGCCCCTGGCTATGATGTGTGATTTGACAGTGATTTAGGGGTGGCCCAATGCAAAAAGCATGAGGATCCATGAGGATCCGTGCTTCAAAACCACGTTTTGGGCCACGGTTTCCCCACGAAGCCGTGGATCCGTGATTTTTGTGGTGGATTCTGTGCCCATGGCGATGATGTTTGATCTGATGGTGACTTTGGGCTGATCTAGTGCAAAAATCATGAGGATCCATGAGGATCCGTGTTTTTTAACCATGTTTTTGCGCCCCTGCGGCCACGAACCAGTGGATGCGTGATTTTTTTGATGCTGCCTACAGAGTAAGACATGGTCTACAGTATCATGGTGGTTTTATTTAATTTGAATGAAAAAATCATATGAATTCATGAGGATCCGTGTAGATCCGCCTTTTACCTTTTTCCCTTAATTCGTTCCGGAGGTCCGTTCTTAACCTGAAGCACCACCTTAACTAATGGGGCCTCCTGCTGCGCCACCAGAGCACAATTTCTGTTCTCATCCTGAAGCAAAGTTCTTAACCCGAGGTACTATTTCTGGGTTAGCAGAGTCTGTAACCTGAAGCGTCTGTAACCTAAAGCGTCTGGAACTCGAGGTACCACTGTACTAGTCACCGCCTCTCAGCCGGACCTCCCTCACAGGGTTATTTTCGCGAAATAAAACACATGGGAAAGGAGACCCGTCATACGCGCCACCTTGCGCTCCTTGGAGACAAAAGTCAAATATATAACAAACAGGATAGAAATAGACGGGTGGAGGTGAGGCAGGTTGCTGGGCGGGTCTCCTCGGCTCCAGAAGGCCGTTTTGCATCGCTTTCCGCCCTCCCTCCGGGAGTTTCTGTGGCCGCCGGCCCGCCTCTCCCCTCCCTCCAGCTTCCAAGGTAGGACAGCCTTGCGCAAGCCGCCCGCCGGCACTTTGCAAAACTTCCCCGCCGCCGCCGCCGCCCGCTTGGCTTGCCCTTCAGCTCCTGCCGTTGTCCCGATGGCTTCGGAGGAGCAGCAGCTACAGAGGAAGCGAGCCCCGAAGCAGCCGCCTCCGGGGGTCTCCGTCGCCCCCGACCCCGCGCTGAAGCCCTTCGAGAGAAACCTGCTGCGGAACCCCAACCCCGAAGGTACCACGCGGCTCCCCCTGGCGCCCGCTTCTCCTTCAGCCCCTGCGAAGGGACCTGGGGGGGGGTCGATGGGGGAGAGGGGTGCCTGCTTTGCAAAAGAGGGGGGTTGACCACCTCCACCCCAACGGCCTTTCTAAGGGTCAACATTGCAAGAAGTGGTCCCCCACCCCCGGAGCAAAGCGTTTTGGGCAAGACCCCTTTGGCACTGCTTAGCGGCGATTGCTGCCTCGAACGGGGTTGGGCTGGATGACCTTTGGGTGTCCCGTACAACTCTATAAGCCTGTGGTTCTAGGAATCAATGAAATATCAAGGATATTTCTATCTCCCAACCCTCTACATCAGGGGTCTCCAAACTAAGGCCAGGGGCCGGAAAAGGCCCGAGGGACTCCTTTATCCGGCCCACGGCGACCCCCGCTGCCCGCTCTTACCGGCAATGCGCTGCGCGGCTGCCCACTTAGCTTGTGCGGAAGCAGGACTAAGATGTGGAGATATGCTCCAGAGATCCAGACCATGGGGAGCCCCAAGAAATTAATAAATACAATTTGGACTATAATTTGATCTTTTTATTTTGGTTTTTTAATTGAAGTATTATGATTGGATATTTAATTGGATGTTCTTTATTGGAAAATCAATAAAAATGATTTTTTTAAAAAAGAGAAATAGCTTGTGCGCATGCGCAATAGTTATTTGCACATGCGCAAGCGTTATTTGTGGTGCACATCCGGGTCAGAGGAGGCCCGTGCACATGAGCACAAGCGATTTCCGGTGCTCCTCCGACTTGGAAGTGCGCCGGAAATAGCGTGTGTGCATGCGCTCCCCTGCCCTCTGGCCCGCCGCACGATCGGCACTGGAGACACCAGCCCGAGGTGCGATAAGTTTGCTGACCCCTGCTCTACATGTTAAAAAGGTAAAGGGACCCCTGACCATTAGGTCCAGTCGTGACCGACTCTGGGGTTGCGGTGCTCATCTCGCTTTACTGGCCAAGGGAGCCAGCGTACAGCTTCCGGGTCATGTGGCCAGCATGACTAAGCCGCTTCTGGCGAACCAGAGCAGCGCACGGAAACGCCCTTTACCTTCCTGCCGGAGAGGTACCTATTTATCTACTTGAACTTCGTGCTTTCGAACTGCTAGGTGGGCAGGAGCAGGGACCGAGCAATGGGAGCTCACCCCGTCGTGGGGATTCCAACCGCCGACCTTCTGATCGGCAAGCCCTAGGCTCTGTGGTTTAACCCACAGCGCCACCCGCGTCCCCATGCTCTACATGTTACTGAAGCTATATTCCAGCCTTCGTCCCCCCGGCTTTCTCCTGATGTTGTCGAACTACAACTCCCATCAGCCTTAGGTTGGGGAGCTGATGGGAGTTGTGGTCTGGCAACACCTGGAAGAAGACAGGTGGGTGAAGGCTGCTCTGATCCACTTCTGTTTCCTTTGCAATAGCATCCCTTGCTGTGCTTGAAGAGTCAAGCCACGCTTGCCTCTTAATCTTAAAACGACAGACTTGGGGAAACTAGCAACCCAAAACAAACAAAACAACACAAAAACACCTTAAGAGCTCTGCAGAGGAGATGGAGGCAGACCGTGCTCTGTGTGGTGTCTTTCTGGCGCGCCTCTGTGTTTACACGGAGTGTGTTCTGGAGCCAAGATGCATCCCCTCGTAGATTTAGCTTCCCGAGACCCCAGAAGAGAACTGAACTCTGAAGAATGACAATGCTGGCAAGAAAGGCGCGAGAGGAATTCTAATAAGGCATTCCTCCGCCAGACGGTGCTTTATCAGAGACTAGAAAGCAGGGACACGTTTGCCCATTAAAAGATACCTCTAACTGAAGTGGATTCTCTCCCAGCAGGGATCACTGTTCGATGGCTATTTGCTAGACTTGCCTTTGCAGGAGTCTGAGATAGGAAGACGGCTTGACTTGCCAGCCAGCCAGCTCCTCACTCAGAGCTACAGCATTGAGCAGCTGGCTTATCAGGTGACAGGCATATACAGTTTTGCATCGATTCAATTTTGCGTTTTGCTACTAGGAGTTAGCATCTGAGCTAGCTTGTTTTCCTCCTCCCTCCCCTCCCCTTTTCCTCTTGTGCCATGTCTCTCATTTGTAAGCCTGGAGGCAAACAGGCTCGTCTTACTGATTTTGTAAGTTGCTCTTTGAGCCGTTATAAATATATACCGTATTTTTTGCTCTATAAGACTCACTTTTTCCCTCCTAAAAAGTAAGGGGAAATGTGTGTGCGTCTTATGGAGCGAATGCAGGCTGCACAGCTATCCCCAGAAGCTAGAACAGCAAGAGGGATTGCTGCGCAGCGATCCCTCTTGCTGTTCTGGCTTCTGGGATTCAGAATATTTTTTTTCTTGTTTTCCTCCTCCAAAAACTGGGTGCGTCTTGTGGTCTGGTGCGTCTTATAGAGCGAAAAATACAGTATATATATTTACAGTGGCACAGGGAGAAAATCTTTAGACGATTCAAAACGTATCTGGATGTGGAGGCAGAGGGAAAAATAACAGGAATATGGAATGCAGGATTTAGGAGGGAGGTTTGCAGGAATTAGGTGTGCTTGTCGCACCGAATGTTGGGTAGATATTGCAAGAGCTGAGTGATGAGCAACTGAGAGGACTTAGCATTCTGCTGGGGTTGCGAGTCTACGATAACGTCCATATTTGAGTTAGAGCATCTTACCGGAACATAGAGGTGGCTCATCTCTTGCAGGCAGAGAAGTCTCCACCTTCAGCCACCTTAAAGGTAAAGGGACCCCTGACCATTAGGTCCAGTTGTTACCAACTCTGGGGTTGCGGGGCTCATCTCGCTTTATTGGCCGAGGGAGCCGGTGTACAGCTTCCGGGTCATGTGGTCAGCATGGCCAAGTCGCTTCTGGCGAACCAGAGCAGCGCACAGAAACGCCATTTACCTTTCCGCCGGAGTGGTACCTATTTATCTACTTGCACTTTGTGCTTTCGAACTGCTAGGTGGGCAGGAGCAGGGACCGAGCAACGGGAGCTCACCCCGTCGCAGGATTCGAACCGCCAACCTTCTGATCGGCAAGTCCTAGGCTCTGTGGTTTAACCTACAGCGCCACCCGCGTTCCACCACATTACCAGGCCACAAATACTTGAGCTTGTTCTAAGAGTCTTAGCTGAGTTTAGGAATCAGCTGCCTGTCCCTTACAGGCTTACCTGCAAGTAGCTCAGCCGATACCATTGGCAGCAACTGCTGTGATGTCACAGAACACTCTGGAATATTCTCTTCCTTCTACTCTCTTCTTTTCATCCTTCTCCGGATCAGCACACCCCGCCCCACCCCACTGCACACATATGAAGGAAGGGTACACACACACACACCCCAATTTACATTTCCAAGGGCTCAGGGTAAAAGTCAGATCTGGCAGAATCAATCTGAGACTGAAATAATAATAATTTATTATATATACACCCCACCCATCTGGCTGGGTTTCCCCAGCCACTCTGTACGGCTTCCAGCAGAATATTAAAATACAATAATTCATCAAATATTAAAAGCCTGCCCATCTGGTGGGAGGACATTCCACAGGGTGGGTGCCACCTCTGAGAAGGCCCTCTGCCTGCTTCCCTGTAACTTGGCTTCTCACAGTGAGGGAACCGCCAGAAGGCCCTCGGAGCTGGACCTCAGTGTCTGGGCAGAACGATGGGGGTGGAGACGCTCCTTCAGGTATACTGGGCCAAGGCCTTTAGGGCTTTAAAGGTCAGCACCAACACTTTGAATTGTGCTCGGAAACGTACTGGGAGCCAATGTAGGTCTTTCAGGATTGGTGTTATGTGGTCTCGGCGGCCGCTCCCAGTCCCCAGTCTAGCTGCCGCATTCTGGATTAGTTGTAGTTTCCGGGTCACCTTCAAAGGCAGCCCCACGTAGAGCGCATTGCAGTAGTCCAAGCGGGAGATAACCAGAGCATGCACCACTCTGGCCAGACAGTCTGCGGGCAGGTAGGGTCTCAGCCTGCGTACCAGATGGAGCTAGGAGACAGCTGCCCTGGACACAGAATGGACCTGCACCTTCATGGACAGCTGTGAATCCAAAATGACTCCCAGGCTGCACACCTGGTCCTTCAGGGGCACAGTTGCCCCATTCAGGACCAGAGAGCACATAGATCTGAAAGAGGAGGAAAATACTTTCACTCTTCCAACGTTCTCCTTTAGCCAAAGGTCCTTTTCAAGAGAGGAACAGGGGGCTGCCCTCACCACCTGCTGGCCCAAGGGGCTGCGGGGCAGGTGGGTGAGCTCAGGGGCTTGTTATCGCCACGTTGGCAACCTCTATCCCAGCTGCTGAGAAGCTGGAATGCGTCTGAGAAGTTGGAATGTGCGTAGTCATTCTGTTACATCCCAGCCAGGAAGGTTGGTGATCAGCTGTCAGATCTGCACAGTATTTATGAATGGGTTGATTTTCACTCTAGAATCCTTCCAGCCAATGGACCGCAAGCATGCAAATGAACGTGGTGGGGAAGAGCAAGGAGGTCGCTTGCAAGATCCGACAATGTCAGATTTTAATGAAAGGTCCTTTGCCTGTTTCCCTTCCAGAAAATAGCAAACGGCTTTTTCTGATGTTGAGCCAAGAAGAGTTTTTACTGTTCTGGCTAGTCAGGGTTCCAGGCCGCTACAAGGCAGGGCGGATGCCTAAACATGTTAAAACTTGCGGGTGCAGGAGATTAACTCCCAGAGCTCTGAAACAGCTTGTTTTTGGCCTTGCTGGTGCTGCTTGCCTGGGGGTGCGGGAAGATCTCCGCAATTACCGTAATTAATTGGCAGTCATAATCCTTGCGCGCTTGCAAGGAGGCCTTGTAGCTTCCAGGCCTCCTTTCGTCACTCCCAATTAACACAGCCCTTTCTTAAGAACGCAGTAAGTGTCTGCTGGATAAAGCCCAAAGTGGCCCGTGTAGTCCAGCATCCTGATTTTACGGGGCAAACGAGATACCTATAAAGAACTGTTTAGTTAGAAGGGAACCGCTCATCCCCTTGCAATGCAGGAATCGCCTATGTATGTGAGAGAAGGTTCAGGGCAGGACAGTGGCGTAGCGAGGATTGCTGGCTCCCAGGGCAAGGAAAGTATTCTGCCCTGTAACTGGCACCTCCATGCGGCGCTGCAGCTGCTGCCAGACAGATCTGCAGAGCAGCCGCAAGACATGGGTGCAGATCTCCTGTTAAGGTGGCAGCTGCAGAGGTGCACCTGTAATATATTTTTTTTGCAGTTGCCCTGGGGTCCCCACCCCCATGCTATGCCACTGGCTGGGCTTGGTGCTAAAAGCAATCCTTACGGGGTCCTCGCTGCGGGATCACATTCACCCAGTGCAATACCAGCTGCACTGGCTCCTGGTGGAGTACAGGGTCAGGTTTAAGGTGCTGGTTTTATAGCCCTATACGGCCTAGGACCCTCATACCTATGGGACCGCTTCTCCTGGTATGTCCCATGGAGGACCTTACGGTCTTCAGACAAAAACATCTTGGAGGTCCCAGGCCACAGGGAGGTTAGGCTGGCCTTGACCAGAGCCAGGGCCTTTTCAATACTGGCCCCGATCTGGTGGAACGCTCTGTCACAAGAGACTAGGGCCCTGCGGGACTTGACATCTTTCCGCAAGGCCTGCAAGACAGAGCTGTTCCTCCTGACCTTTGGCCAAGGCACAGTCTGACCCCCTCCTTTGGTAATTCTTTACAGAACTCTAGCCCAATGGTTGCCATCAATTTGATTTGAACTGATTTTATAATGAATTGATTTTAGAATGCTGTATTATTTTGCTGTTGTTAGTCGCTCTGAGCCCGGCTTCGGCTGGGGAGGGTGGGATATAAATAAATTATTATTATTATTATTATTATTATTATTATTTATTATCAAGGTTCAATGCATTTTCCTCTTCCTCCGTTTATTTTACAGGTGTGAATATTTCTGAGCCAGCGCCCCCCCTGACGCTGCCCAGGGCAGCTTGGAATCCCCTGGACCCTAAAGGTGAGGTAATGCGCGACAGTGGGAGGCGATTGGGGTTGTGGGCCTCTCCTTGCAAGCCCAGAGCTGGCTGGCATGTGCAACTTGTTAATTTCCTCCTGAGTGGAAGTTATCGATAGAAGCCGAAAACTCACTCCTTAGGAATAAAAACACACAGCGAGCGTAAAAATCAGTTTACTGATAATAAAACTCAAACCAGAAACCACAAAATCATATTCTGGGAAGCTTTGGAACAGCAGTTCTCTGACCCAGGTCACTGACGGCCGTAATCCTTTAAGCGTGACAGCAACATAGCAGGACCTGTCAGGGGGACGGATTACAGTTTCACAATGGGAGGAAGAGCATAAATCGAGCCATCCATAGAGAAATGTTTGAACAAGCGATCAGATGACTCAAGCCAGACTAAACGGATCAGAATGTCAAAAGGAAATGGAAATGAGTTGCCCAAGGTGGGAGACAAAGACTTACAAAATGACTTGAGGGACAGGTGTCAAGTCACAGGTTCAGATTTCTGACTGATATCTGTGATGTTTCTGTGTTGCACATAAATGTTGCGTTTCCAAGGAGGTGTTTCTGTGATGGGGGAAATGGAACTTTTAAAATATGCTGTAAACCAGGGGTCAGCAAACATTTTCATCAGGGGGCCGGTCCACTGTCCCTCAGGCCTTGTGGGGGTCCAGACTATATTTTTTTTGGGGGGGGGGATATGAACGAATTCCTATGCTCCACAAATAACCCAGAGATGCATTTTAAATAAAAGCACACATTCTACTCATGTAAAAACACGCTGATTCCCGGACCGTCCATGGGCCAGATTTAGAAGGCGATTGGGCTGGATCTGGCCCCCGGGCCTTAGTTTGCCTACCCATGACGTAAACCCAGATCAAGGCTGCTTCTTCCTCTTGCTGTCTTGAGGGGAGAAACTTTGCTTCCCAACTTTGCTTTTCCTTATGCCTGGTTACAGTCTGCAATTCTTTCCTCTGACAGACAAGCAGACCTCCACGGAATTGCGAGTCCTTTGAGCAAGGGATTGGTGCAAAAGTGACCCCGATTTTTACACCAGGCCTTTTGAGATACCTGGCCCCAGAAGCATGCGTAAAAGGCAATTTCCTTGATAGGAAGTGAGTTTGGTTTGTTTTTTTAAGAACCTAGGATGTAGCTTGTTAAGTTGTGGGTGAACATATCACAGCGATTCTTCAAACAGCTCTTGTTTATTCACAGGCCAGAACAGAACTGAACTGAAGGGTTCAGCCAGCCTGCTTATATAGAGCTCCACTACAACGCAACAGTAACCACTTTCTGTAACTATCCAATCACTGAACGTCACTTTCAATCCCTTATTTGCATATGTGGACCTGAGTGAAAACTATCTACAGTATCCCCCTGCTGGTCCAGGGTGAGAACTTCAGTACATAACATAGCTTGTGTTTGCATTGATGCAAAATAGTTGAGACAGTGGACCAGGTTGTGAATTCTGTATCATTCCCTCAGTGGGGCTTCCCTTGGGCTTGACCCAGAACATGCAGTCGGCACCGAATGCTGCAGCGCGATTGCTGATAGGTGAGAGGCCTTGTCAGCATATAGCGCCTGTGCTCAAGAGATCTTCCCTGGTGTCCAATTTGCTACCAGACCAAGTTCAAGGTGTTACTATTAGTACAGGGATAGGCAACCTAAGGCCCATGGGCCAGATCTGGCCCAATCGCCTTCTCAGTCCGGCCCACGGACAGTCCGGGAATCAGCATGTTTTTACATGAGTAGAATGTGTCCTTTTATTTAAAATGCATCTCTGGGTTATTTGTGGGGCATAGGAATTCATTCCTTTTTTCCCCTGTTGCAGGTGCCTCAAAATCACAATTCTGCATTTGTAATAACTTGGTCTTTGGAACTCCCTGCACCTTGACACCAGGGGGTTGCCTTCACTGTATTTTTTTCTGTACATGTTAAAAGCTTTCTTGTTCAGACAAGCCTTCCAATATATTTAGAAAGCTGATGTGAGTTTTGTTTTTATTGCTGTTTTACCTTTCGAATGTTTTAAATAGATCTTTTTATTGTTTTGTAAGCCACTTTGAGGCTTTCTTTTCTTTTGCAACCAAGCGGTGTACAAATTTTATGAAATAAATACATATATTTTTATTCGGAAGCTGCACAAGCTCAGGGACACTGCGCTCTTGTGCTTATTTTTTTTGGGGGGGGGACCCACATGTTCCATCTAGAGGGGGGAAAGCGTTCTGTGTATGCTCAGGGCCACCTGGCTCGAGATGCCAGAATGCAGGGTCACAGGAAAATGGCAATCTGCTAAAACCATTTCCCCTTCCTCTTGAGGGTCCCCTTTCCATCTCTCCCCACAGGTATTTTCAAAGGCTGGCAAGTTAGCATCGAGCCCTTGGAGGCAGACAAGACAGAGGTCGCCCCAAAGTCCATCTTGCCACGCTATAGGTGAGTGGGGGACTCACTGGCAGGGCCGGATTTAGGTTTGATGAGGCCCTAAACTATTGAACGTAATGGGGCCCTTTCTATGTCCAGCTTTCCTTTGTCAACAACAAATGGCCGCTGTTTTTTGTGTTGAATATATGCTATATGGTAATATATGGACCTAATAGGTATCTCAAGCCATTTGTACATGTTGCCGTGGAACCAGTCCATGCAGAATGTCAGCACCCTATATATAAAAGGTAAAGCCCAGTCGTGGCCGACTCTGGGGTTGCGGCGCTCCTCTCGCTTTATTGGCCGAGGGAGCCGGTGTACAGCTTCCAGGTCATGTGGCCAGCATGACTAAGCCTCTTCTGGCGAACCAGAGCAGCGCATGGAAACGCCGTTTACCTTCCCGCTGGAGCAGTACCTATTTATCTACTTGCACTTTGACATGCTTTTGAACTGCTAGGTTGGCAGGAGCAGGGACTGAGCAACGGGAGCTCACCCCGTCACGGGGATTCGAACCGCCAACCTTCTGATCAGCAAGCCCTAGGCTCAGTGGTTTAACCCACAGCGCCACCCGCGTCCCTACGCTATATATTGAAAGGAGCAAACCAGTGATATTTTAGGGAGCAGGCTAGCAGGTGGGGTCCATGACTTACATCACAGGAGCCTACACAACACAAAACACTGTTGCTGTATATAAGCTTTATTTTATTTGTTGTTTATCTTATATTTTGGAAATGTGCATCCAGGTTTTTTTGCTTTAAATTTTTTTGGGCCCCCCAAGAGAGTGGGGCCCTAAGCTATAGCTTGTTTAGCTTATACGTAAATCTGGCACTGGAGTCCCTGTGAGCTGGTCTTGTCTCTTTGAGTCTCATTGGAACAGCTGACCTGCTTCCTTCTCTCCCTTTCGCCCTTTCTAGCTGGTGCGTTAAGCAGCAACACGTAGACTTGGTGGCCGAAGGATTTTGGGAGGAGCTACTGGATTCATACCAGCCAAACATCACCGTCATGGATTGGTAAGTGTGTGTGGCCTGGCGGCGGTTAGTTCCCCCTGCATTCCTGCATTGCAGAGGGTTGGACTGGATGACCCTGGATGTCAGGAGCCCGTCCTACACTCAAGTAGGACCCTGGCAGAGACACATGCCACGACTGGCATGTTCTGTCCCTCCTGGTCGATCAGGAGCTTCAAAAGCTTTCTTCTGCCCGAACATCACAGCAACCGATGCCAACAGACATCGGCACATTTAGGGATCCGCAGAGTCTGCGCAGCTTGCGTGACAGACCTCAGCAACTCAGCATTTTGGCTAATCTACTTTATTTACGTATAAATGCACGCGGAGCACTGCACCATGGCTCCCTCTCTCTCTAGCATCAGACAGCAAAGAGAAAAAGAACAAAGGGCAATAGTCCCTGAAATATACTCAGAGTCGAGTATGGATTTCATGCTCTTTATTCAGCTCATAGTGGTGAGGAGGAATGGAAGTTCCCCCAGAATGTCTGCTTTATATACATTATTTACACAATGGGCCCCACGTGATTGGCTAATTCCGGGATTCTCCTGTAGGCCAATCAGGTTGCGGATTCACTTCCACCTGGAGCTGGATTGGGTGGCTCCTGTGGACCAATCAGACTGCTGCATTCTGAATCCTATTGTTCTAGGACCAATCAGACTGCTGCATTTTGGATCCTATTCAACTCAGTACATAATAGTCCCACTTCACGGAACGCAGGAACACAAACATCCTGTCTCCGTCACTTCCCACTCGGTGGAGTCAAAACATCCACCGTCATGTGATAGACAACAATCCCATGACTGCAATCACGGAGCAGGAAATCTAACACCTTGGGGGTCCCTTGCAAGTCTACAGTTTTATGATTCTACGACCCTGGTTCTTTCCTGGCCTTGTTTGGCACAATGGGCAAGAAGCACACTGAGAGCGTCACCGGCTCTCTAAAAATAAGTGCTGGGGCTTGATGCTACCTAGAAAGTTATGCTGTTTGAACTGGAAGCCTGTCCTTCAACTCCAAAACAACCTGGGCTCTGCTTCGTGAAATAAGTGATTTGCGCAAGGGCCGTGCAGACGGTCTGTGGCAGAACCCTTCCCATCAGTCCCATAGTTTAGGGAATTTTTAATGTCTGATGTTTTGTTGTATTTTTAATATTTTGATGATGATCTTTTACCTCCCCTGTCCTGGTCTCTGACATGCTCCCTTACCCCTGTATCTCTGTCAAAGATTCTCCCTGACACCACTGATGAATAGCCTATTTTTAGGGGCAAGATCCCCAAGGCTGGCAGTTCCACAGGAGTGAGGGAAATAAACTTTGTACATGCTCAGATGCATTCAGCCCTTGCTTAGAATATATTCCAGGCATGTCCAACTGGTAGATCTATGATTCTATGATCTACTGGTAGATCGTGGGGTGTTCCTGGTAGATCCTGGTTGATCTCCGGCCCCTCAGCAATTTCCTTACAGAAAAGCAGAAAAGGGGGGGGGGGACCCAAATCTCCACAACTTTGGCTTCCTAAAATCACTGCCAGTTTTTTTACATTGTGAGTAGATCGCAGTCTATTGGGAGTTGGACATCCCTGATATATTCTGATAGCAAAATTCAAGGCTAAGCCTTGGAGAGCCCTGGTTCAAATTGTTGTTGTTGTTGTTTAGTCGTTTAGTCGTGTCCGACTCTTCGTGACCCCCTGGACCAGAGCACGCCAGGCACTCCTGTCTTCCACTGCCTCCCGCAGTTTGGTCAAACTCATGCTGGTAGCTTCGAGAACACGGTCCCACCATCTCGTCCTCTGTCGTTCCCTTCTCCTTGTGCCCTCCATCTTTCCCAACATCAGGGTCTTTTCCAGGGAGTCTTCTCTTCTCCTGAGGTGGCCAAAGTCTTGGAGCCTCAGCTTCAGGATCTGTCCTTCCAGTGAGCACTCAGGGCTGGTTTCCTTCAGAATGGAGAGGTTTGATCTTCTTGCAGTCCATGGGACTCTCAAGAGTCTCCTCCAGCACCAGAATTCAAAAGCATCCATTCTTCAGCGATCAGCCTTCTTTATGGTCCAGCTCTCACTTCCATACATCACTACAATGTGTGTGTTTTTTTGGGGGTGGGGGCGTGATGAATGGGAGGGGCACATCTCGCACAATTTCATTCAGCTTGCTTTCAGCCACATATGTTTGAAATTGCAGAGGTTAAATGCATGTAAGATGCAATTGCACCGTCACTAAATACCGTATTTTTCGCTCTATAAGACGCACCAGACCACAAGACGCACCTAGTTTTTGGAGGAGGAAAACAAGAAAAAAATATTCTGAATCTCAGAAGCAAGAACAGCAGGAGGGATCGCTGCGCAGTGAAAGCAGCAATCCCTCTTGCTGTTCTGGCTTCTGGGATAGCTGCGCAGCCTGCATTCGCTCAAGTGAGTCTTATAGAGCAAAAAATACGGTATATCTAGTAAATCAGGTGCAAAAGTGTCTTCACACATGCTTTATTCGGACCACCAGAGGGCAGCAGTTCTGCAGTGATAAAGCCAGTTTTGCGTGGACAAAACCATCAGCCCCAACACGACTGCTTTCTCCCTACAGGTACGAAAACAGCAAACTGGCTGACTCTGTCTATGAACTCCACGTCCGGCTCCTGGGAGCAGACAGGGCCACGGTGATGGGTGAATTTCACTACGTGGCGCACGAGGGCGAGCAGGACGGGCAGGAAAACAAGAACTGGCATCACGTAAGAGCTGGGTTGGGTGGGCAATCAGGATTCGAACACAAGACACACTCCACTCCCACAGTTTCCAGCAGCTGGTGTTCAGGAGCATTGCTGTGGAGGGCACAGCATAGCCATTGATAACCTTGTCTCCCCCCCTGAATTTTTCTAATCCTCCTTTAAAGCCATCCCAGTTGGGGGCCATGTGGCAGGGAGTTCCACAGTTTAACCGTGCGCTGTTTAAAGAAGGACTTCATTTTACCAGAGAGGGGAAATCTTTTCTATATCTGCTTCCTTTGTGCCCTTCGTAATATAAAGCACCGTGTCTCCTCAGTTGGCTAGAGCGCTGTGCTGATAAGGCCAAGGTTGCAGGTTCGATCCCCCCACGGGAAAGCTGCATATTCCTACATTGCAGGGGGTTGGACTGGATGACCTCTGGGTCCTTTCCAGCTCTGTCATTCTATGATTCAAAACTTTAAAATGCCAAACACTGTAACCGTTCTTCATAGGGGAGTTCCTCAATCTTGTTTTGCAAACTCCTGGATGTCCACAAGTTCTCGTGGACATGCACAAGCAATGGAAGAAAGCTTTTTTCTACCCACTTCCCGCATGACATGTACAATTTTATAAAGTTCCATCATGTCGCCACTTCCTCGCTTTTTCTCTACACTAAAACGCCCCAAACGCTGACTGATCTGGGTCTCACTGGGTTGGCTGAGCCGCATGGCCTGCTGTCATAAAAACCCCCTAAGGACTCAGTTTGCCTGTCCAAGAAATGGGTACATATGTGTGCATTAAGATGGAGGAACTTTGGGGTCTCCACCCCTGTGGTTGTAGCCTTGTGGACTGAGACCGTCCCCCCCCTTCTCGATCTCTTTCAAGGTCTCCCACGTATTCCAGCGCTACGGAGCAGGACTGCGCTATGTCCACTTCCTCCACAAGGCCAAAGAGGTCGAGACGCCGGCTGGATTCCTCCGGACGAGAGTGACGGACAGCAGCGTCTCTGCCCAGCTGCAGGACTGATGGCGTTTGGGGGAGCGGTGGGGTGGTCAGGCATTGTGTGGGGCATCAAAGGGGGGGTTCAGGGGGTTACCTGACCCGCCCAGATCCTGTAGGAAGACCCACCTGCGAAAGATGTTTTCTTGCATCTTGATTAAAAGCAGATGTGAAACTACAAACAGCATCTTTGTCATATATAGAGGAAGACACTCTGTCCATGTTCAGAGGCACTGTTGTTCTTCCTGACACCATTTTATTCCGGGTCAGGGATATGGCTTGCTGGGAAAAGGTTTGGGGGCTAATCCCTGGTTCCTCGCTTTCTCGGATCAACCCCTCCCTGTAGACCTGACACCTCCCCAGCTAAACTGGGGGCTTCCTAGCAGGTGAATCCTACCCTTTGCACTCCTCATAACACAGTCCTGTGCAGGTTTACTCGGAGGCAAGTCGGCGAGGCTTCTTCCCTACTAAATGCAATTTAGCGCTGCAACCTCAATGCCCAGTTTCCCATCTGTGCCATGGCAGTAAATGTAGATTTTTTAATTTCATTGTTCTATATGGGACAATGACAATAAAGATTATCGTATCGTAACGCTGGCCTACCTTGCAGGGGTGGTGGTTTGGGGAGAGAAGATGGGGTTCAGTGCTCCATAGCTTAGGTCCCAACTTTGACTGGCAGCATCTTCAGGTAGGGCTGGGAGACACCCTACCTGCAGAGCAGCTGCCAGTCAGTGTCTCCAATACTGATCTAGATGGACCACTATCCTGATTCAATATAAGGAAATTTTCTATGTTTCCGTCTTCAAGGAGATGCACAGCGGCACTCCAGACTCCGAATATATTGGAACTGGCTGGGGTTCCGTAGCAGAGAGGGAAGAACAGAGAGGGCCGGGAAACCGAGAAGAGAATCACAGAATTGTAGGAATGGGACACCCAAAGGACATCTAGTCCAACCCGCTGCAATGCAGGAATCTCAGTTGAAGCATCCATGACAGATGGCCACCCAACCTCTGCTTAGAAACCTCCAAGGAAGGAGAGTCCACAACCCCCCAAGGGAGACTCTTCCACTGTCAAGGGAGTTGGGAATATTTAGCCTGGAGAAGATATGACGGAACCACAGCCAGCTCCAATATATTCGGAGTCTGGAGTGCCGCTGTGCATCTCCTTGAAGCCAGAAACATAGAAATTTTCTGTATATCCCTGAAACAAGGTATTATCTTCTAGAATTAAACTAAATAACAAAAATCAAAAAGCTGAAGGAAAAAAATTAGAAAAACCTAGAATTGAACAAAGCCTTGACGGGATGCCGGCTACAAACCTCGTTTCACTGGACTATTCAGTTTCCTCAGAAGGAAATAGAGGAATCATAAACCTTAAATGATTTTAAACAAACTCAAGAACAGGGCTGGAACGCTCCCCTGAGTTTACAAAAAAGGTTTGAAAACCTCAGTGGCAAGTTTTAGACATAGCCCTATTTAAAGAAAGCCAAGCAGTAGCAATAAGGAGTTGAGGACTCGGCTGTGAAAACTCTAGTATTGCCTTTACAAAAAGGTTTTTAAAAACTTACAAGGGAATACGAGATAAGATGTTTTAGATTTTAAACTCAAGAACAGGGCTGAAACGCTCCTTTGGTCTAGATGTAACTGCTGATGTTAAAGAAATTGAAAATCTACATTTACTGCCATGGCACACATGGGAAACTGGGTGTTGAGGTTGCAGTGCTAAATGCATTTAGTAGGGAAGAGGTGATTGCATAGCCATCTTCCAATATACCTGAAGGACTCTCCCCTGGAAGACGATGCCTAAATTTATTTATTTTTTGCTGCTACGGAGGGCAGGAACAGAACCACCGGTTTCAAGTACCAACGAAAGGAGATTCTGACGAAAAATTCGGTAAACCTTTCTGAAGGTAAAGGCCGTTCAACAGTGGACAGTGGTGGGTTCTCCTTCCTTGGACCTTTTAAAGCAGAGCTTGGGTGGCCACCTGCCAGCGATCCTTTATCTGTGATTCCTGCATTGCAGGGGGTTGGTCTGGATGACCTTTGGGGGTCCCCCACACCTTGCTAGAATCCTATGATCCTTTGGTTCCAGGCGGGGACAAAAAGCTCAGGGCATGAAATAAGACCAGTGGAGGATGTGGTCTCTGCTCCCCACCCCTGGATCAAGGCTAAGGCGGCTTTTTGGCCTGATTCTATGACATTTTCATAGGATCATAGAGTTTGAAGGGACCCTGAGGGTCATCTAGCCCAACCCCCCTGCGATACAGGAATCTTTTGCCCGATGTGGCGCTCAAACCCGCAACCCTGAGATTCAGAGTCTCAGCTATTCCATCTAAGTAGGGGGATTTCATCGGTCAGAAATCCTGCGATTCCTGCATTGCGGTGCTTAGATTTGTTGACCTCGGGGACTCCTTCCAGCTATACAGTTCTGTGGCACTCTGCTGGTGCTCAGAGGCACCCTCCCCCCACCCAAACTTCAAGCGTTGATAGCTCTGGCATTGAAATTGGCAAAGTGGCAAGCCCTGGATCAAACTCCTTATCTCGCACCCCACCCTCCTTTGGAGGTGCCCAGTTTGGAGCTGCCTCGAAGGAAGGGAGTTAAATTGAAAACAATTCGGTGCGGATTATTGTATTCTGCTCTCGGCTCCCTGAAAGCTCTTTCCAATTAAATGTTTACAAGAGGCGAGAAAAGAGTAGAATCTACCCATCATTTGCTGACCTTGAGCTACAAAAAAGAGAGAGAGACGGAACGTGTTCCGAAAGCCGTGTTCTTTCGCTTTTAATTATGTTTATCGTGGCGACGCAGAGGAATAGTGGCCTAGACGAGGCAGAAGGAGCGCTTGCTGCAAAGCGAGTCTCTGGGGAAGCAGTTGTGAGGGGGGGGGGAGAGAAAGAGAGAGAGAGACACAATGGCTTTGAAGATGAAACGCCTGTCTTAAAAAGCCAAAAAAACCCAGAACACTACACCCAGAACAAAGTGGGGAATGTAGGAAAGATCTTAAAAGCACCAGAAGCTACATATATTTCGAGCGAGGTGTCCAGCTTGGAGATCGTCAAAGCTCAGGGAGGAAACCCCTTCTCTGCTGCGGTTGTGAAAAATAAATTCAATTGCCGGTTTTTGCTTTTTCGTGACGTCGTTCCTGTAGGTGAATTACTTGCTATCAGAAGATGGATTCTTTTCCCCAGGGGTAGGTGGGTTCGCATTTCGTTTGGGTGCAGAGATCACCCAGTTGGCTAGAGATTTTGCCATGGACAACGCAGAGGATTCTGGGAGGGAGATCTTCCAGTTGACCAGAGAATTTGCCATGGGCAGCGCAGAGGATTCTGGGATGGAGATCTTCCAATTGACCAGAGAATTTGCCCTGGAGATGTGACGAGAGCAGAGGATTCTGGGAGAGACTTCTCCCAGCTGGCCGGAGATTTTGCCATGGGCAGTGCGGAGGATTCTGGGAAGAAGATCTTCCAGTTGGCAAGAGCGTTTGCCATGGCAGGAGCAGGGGATTCTGGGAGGGAGCTATCCCAGAATCCTTAGTGGCAACAGAGTGGCGCATTGCAAGACCTGTGGGAACATCGCTTGGGGTGCTGCGGGGTCAGGCTGGCAAGAGCTGCTCGTGGCCACGGGGTCCTATCTTGCACGGCTCTGGCGTGGTCTCCTCAACTGCACTTGCAATAGTAGGCGGAGATGGCATTGGCCCAGTCGCCGAAGATGCCCTTCCGGAATTCCTGGAGACGCGGGAAGGCGCCGGCTTTGAACTTGCGGGTCTTGCCCCCTTTGCCCTTGCTGGACCAGACGGTCAGCTCACATCTCTGCCCCACCACCAGCGAGGTCACCTTGTTGTTGAAGGCAGATGGCATGTAGGGCTGGTCCTCGTCCGGCGGCACCACCAGGACACTGCCAGCACAGCACTGGTCGTAGTAGGGGCTGTTCTTGGTGTAGAGCTGAGCGCAGATCTTGGTGCCGTTGGCAGTCTTCAGATCGGCCGGCACCGGGCACTGGGCCCAGGTCATGGCGAAGAGCAGCGGGACGAGGAGGAAGGTTGGCGAAGTCTTCATCGTTGCAGCGGTTGAGGGAGAAGGAAGGTTGCAGCCTTTGGCGAGGAGGCTCGCTTTTATAGAGCGCCGCCCAGGGCCGAGGCGGGCACAGAGATAGCAGGGGGGAGATATGGGTGGGAAGGTGGCAAGCTGGGCTGCCCTGTGCCAACCCAGGTGGCTGGCAAATCAAGGCGCCCACCCACAACAGCCTGTTTTTTTGGGGTGGACATTCTGGGCAGAAAAACACCGTTGTGTGCACAGAAGAAAATAAATATTAAGAGGAACTGGGGAACGTACAGCGATATACAGTCATACCTCGGGTTGAATACGCTTCGAGTTGAGTGCGTTCAAGTTGCGCTCCGCGGCAATTTGGAAGTAACAGAGCGCGTTACTTCCGGGTTTCGCTGCTTGCACATGCGCAGACGCTTAAAATGATGTCACGCGCATGCGCGGAAGTGGCGAAAAGCGACGCATGTGTGCGCAGATGTGCCGTCGCTAGTTATGTTTACCTCTAAATGCGAACGGGGCTCCGGAACAGATCCCGTTCGTATCTAGAGGTACCACTGTATTCAGCTTTTCTGAAAGTGCTTGTAAACTTAATATAGTGGTACCTCGCGTTAAGTACTTAATTCATTCCGGAGGTCTGTTCTTAACCTGAAACTGTTCTTAACCTGAAGCACCACTTTAGCTAATGGGGCCTCCTGCTGCTGCCGCACTGCTGGAGCCCGATTTCTGTTCTTATCCTGAATCAAAGTTCTTAACCTGAAGCACTATTTCTGGGTTCGCAGAGTGTGTAATCTGAAGCGTATGTAACCTGAAGCATATGTAACCCGTGGTACCACTGTAAACAAGAAGAGATCCAAGAATGGAGTTCTGTTTTGTTTCAGTATTGTCAGGTAAATGATAGATAGATAGATAGATAGATAGATAGATAGATAGATAGACAGATAATTTATTACGGTCAGAGACCAGCTCTTATAAAACACACTTGGGGATACAGTCACAGAAGAAAAACAAACAATTAAAACAATGTACAACAATAAATTTAAAAACAATGTCCAACAATAAACTACCACAGGGAGTTAATTCAGAGTCACCTATGGAACGGAGTTTGGGGATAACGAACTAGTTTGAGTCGAGGGATGGTCTGCACCTACAGATCTGTACACAGAACCTGGCGACCATCCGGGTCGTCTTCTGATCTTTGCCTAACAGGAAAAGGTCAACTTTTTGCTTTTCCGGGAGGTCAGCAAGCCTCACCAGCAGGGGATCAATGGTCATAGAATAGAATCATAGAATCCTAGAGTTGGAAGAGACCAACCCCCTGCCAAGCAGGAAACACCATCAGAGCACTCCTGACATATGGTTGTCAAGCCTCTGCTTAAAGACCTCCAAAGAAGGAGACTCCACCACACTCCTTGGCAGCAAATTCCACTGTCGAACAGCTCTTAGTGTCAGGAAGTTCTTCCTAATGTTTAGGTGGAATCTTCTTTCTTGTAGTTTGGATCCATTGCTCCGTGTCCGCTTCTCTGGAGCAGCAGAAAACAACCTTTCTCCCTCCTCTATGTGACATCCTTTTATATATTTGAACATGGCTATCATATCACCCCTTAACCTCCTCTTCTCCAGGCTAAACATGCCCAGCTCCCTTAGCCGTTCCTCATAAGGCATCGTTTCCAGGCCTTTGACCATTTTGGTTGCCCTCCTCTGGACATGTTCCAGTTTGTCAGTGTCCTTCTTGAACTGTGGTGCCCAGAACTGGACACAGTACTCCAGGTGAGGTCTGACCAGAGCAGAATACAGTGGCACTATTACTTCCCTTGATCTAGATGCTATACTCCTATTGATGCAGCCCAGAATTGCATTGGCTTTTTTAGCTGCCGCGTCACACTGTTGGCTCATGTCAAGTTTGTGGTCAACCAAGACTCCTAGATCCTTTTCACATGTACTGCTCTCAAGCCAGGTGTCACCCATCTAGTATTTGTGCCTCTCATTTTTTTTGCCCAAGTGCAATACTTTACATTTCTCCCTGTTAAAATTCATCTTGTTTGTTTTGGCCCAGTTCTCTAATCTGTCAAGGTCGTTTTGAAGTGTGATCCTGTCCTCTGGGGTGTTAGCCACCCCTCCCAGTTTGGTGTCATCTGCAAATTTGATCAGGATGGTCTTACTGCGTCCCTCTTCATAAAAGGGACATCTAAAGAACAAGTGCTCTGGGCTTCCTATATCCCCCAATGAACAGGCGCAAAGTCTCTGAGCGTACGGGACTTTTTAAAAGGCTGCTTCCAGGACCGGCGAGGGCAGAGCCGAGCTTCTGGTGAGTGTAAAAGCCCTTCTTGCATTTTTGGATACGAAAAAGAAGAGATATGCTGCTGGTGCAGCTATATATCTCTTGAGTTCTCCAATTTTATAGTCGGGGCACCTTGAGCAGTTCTGTTGTCTCTTGGTGTCTATGATTCTTTGCCTGACTGTGGCTTTTGCCTGGCCCAACCCCAGGCTCAGAAGGGCTTGGGGGGCAAAACCCAGTCTCTGAAGGGTGTTCAGGACTGCAGTCTGCCAGCCTGACTGGAACTGGTCGCAGAGGATCAATGGGGCTATTCCTCGGGGGAGCAGATTCAATGTCAGCCATTTGTAGATTGATGTTAGGCAGAGAGAGAGAGAGAGAGAGAGAGAGAGAGAGAACAACAACGGTCTGATTTTGAAAGTAAATCGCTAGATGGTAAAGTAAAACTGAAGGCTGCCCTGTTTAGGGAAGTTTTTAATGTTTGATGTTTTATATCGTGTTTTCAATATTCTGTTGGGAGCCGCCCAGAGTGGCTGGGGAAACCCAGCCAGATGAGTGTGGTATAAATAAATTAATAATAATAATAATAATTTTAAAAAAACTTATCTCAAAAATATATATAATATTATTGGAATGGGAAACGAAAGATGAATTGGTGAATTCAGCAATGGGACCTAAAGATTTAGGTCACAGATAGCTAAGGGGCCAAAGGCCTGGGGGTTATAGAGAACGGTGCCAGGCGAGCCACTCTGGGGAGAGCATTCCACAAGCAGGGAGCCACCGCGGAAAAGGCCCCGTTCTCGCATTGCCACCTCCTGGACCCCTCATGGCGGAGGCACACAAGAAAGACCCTCACGTGGCCTAGGTATATAAGCGTTATTATTATCCAAATACATATGTGGTTATTTATAACCTACTACATTCTGTCATAAATGGGTTCCAAATACCATTATGCTTCTCCATTCAAAGTCCACATCTGTAAGCAATCCATTCATAAGTTGTGAGTCTTGTCAAATCTTCATTGACTAAAGTGGGGCATAGGTTCGTTTTTCCAATGCATCAATACCAAGTCTTTTGGCCATGATAAAGGCATGGAAAATGCATTTAGGTCGTCAAATTTCATCCAGTGGGTATGTAATTCAAAATAATAATAATAATAATATAATAATAAATTTTACTTATACCCAGCCCTTCCTGGCCAGAGTTGGGCTCAGGGTGGCTAACACCAGTAAAATTACAGTAAAAACATAATAGGAAAAGAAAAAACCCAATTTAAAATACAGGTTAAAATGCAATTTAAAATGCAGCCTCATTTTAAAAGTAGCTCATAGCTCAAAACCATAAGGGGAGGGAAACATAAGGGTCAGACTGAGTCCAAACCAAAGGCCAGGCGGAACAGCTCTGTCTCGCAGGCCCTGCGGAAAGATGTCAAGTCCCGCAGGGCCCTGGTCTCTTGTGACAGAGCATTCCACCAAGTCGGGGCCAGTACTGAAAAGGCCCTGGCCCTAGTTGAGATCAATCTAACCACCTTGTGACCTGGAACCTCCAAAATGTTGTCATTTGTGGACCTTAAGGTCCTCCGCGGGGCATACCAGGAGAGGCAGGAGATATTTTCCTCCGAAAAGTTCAACATTTCCAGCACAGTCACGTTTATACAATCCAAATGTTTTCTCCCCAAACTTCAGAAGTGCAGGATGTTGTAAAACCGTGAGGCTAATAGGACATGGGTGGCGCTGTGGGTTAAACCACAGAGCCTAGGACTTGCCGATCAGAAGGTCGGCGGTTCGAATCCCCGCGACGGGGTGAGCTCCCGTTGCTCGGTCCCTGCTCCTGCCCGCCTAGCAGTTCGAAAGCACGTCAAAGTGCAAGTAGATAAATAGGTACCGCTCCGGCGGGAAGGTAAACGGCGTTTCCGTGCGCTGCTCTGGTTCGCCAGAAGCGGCTTCGTCATTCTGGCCACATGACCCGGAAGCTGTACGCCGGCTCCCTCGGCCAGTAAAGCGAGATGAGCGCCGCAACCCCAGAGTCGTCCACAACTGGACCTAATGGTCAGGGGGCCCTTTACCTTAATGGGTGAGCTTGGACTAGATGACCCTGGTGGAGGGGGTCCCTCCCAGCTCTAACCCTGTCCCAAATGGGGGTCCTAACTTGGCCACAACGTGGAGACATTTCTGTCCCCTTCCCTTCTCTCCGCCCCCCAACTTCCAGCAGGTAAACAGCAGGAACACCATCTTCCCCCAAAATAACACCTGCAGAGACTATCGTCTATCTAATCTTTCCACATTGGAACATTTCTATTTTTGTTTTCCTCCGCCCTCCACCTGCTGCCTCTCCCAAGGCCCAGGTGCAGATTTCCCCTGGGTGGGGGCACCCCATCTCCCTCGTCTCAGCACCCACCCACCTGCGTCACCCTCAAGGTCACCCCGATGGATGAGCTATAGCTGCCAAGTCCTGGTGCTCTTATTCCAGCCGCCTTCTCATCTTGATAGCAAGGTGGGCGTGGAGAGGCACCTTCCGAGTCAGACCCTGCCCTCATTTCTCTCCATGTCGCCTACACTGACCGGCAAGATGAACAAGTTAAATCTGTGATGATAGATTGGGCAAGAGATGTAGGACATAAAATAATGTTTGAGGATTGGGAAAGATTGTGGAAGAAAGGGGTCAAGTTCACCGCATGTACTTTGCTAAAGGAAAATATAATGAAAATGATGTATAGATGGTATTTGACTCCTGTAAAATT